GGAAGGATGCTGGAGGGTCTGCCACAGTCCACCTGGGTTGTGAGCAGCCTTTTCACTCAAAGGACAGGATTTGGTGCAATTCCACCCCCGCCCCGGCCAACCTGGGTCCCCTAATTCCATCCGTTCCCCGCTTCCCGCTTAGTCCTCGCTGCCACCTGCACACCGTGGTCCCGCCTCCCCCACCTCATCCTTGTCGCCCTCGAGAAGCAGCTGACCCTGACCTCCACGGTGGTCTCACAACCACGGACAGGTCATTAGACCCTCCTGGCCTCGCTTTGCCCCCCTTTATAAGATGCATGACAAACCGTGGGCTGTTCTGTGGGGACGCTGCTGGCCCCCTGGTGGCCGCTGTGCTGGCGGCCAGGTCCTGATCTTTCCAAAGCAAATGCACCAGTCCTTCCTCTCGGGTGTCCACACACTTGTCCTTGAGCACAAAGGAGAGACAGGGCCCCGCCGTGTGCTGCCAGCTTCAGGGATGCTTGGAGATGCCACCTCTGCCCGAGCCCTGCTCCTGCCCCTGGGAAAGCAGAGGTCCCACCTCGTGACCCTGCCAGCCGGGTCTCCTGTCGCTGTGGACGGCATGGGCCTGTGCCCGCCAACTCCACGGGCATGGCACCCAGGCCAGCGCTAGCTTTATCAGAGCTGTGGGGGCTCTTCTTGGCGAGAGGAAACCCCATTAAAATAGGGGGTGAGACTCCCAGCAGCTGTTAAGTGAGGAGCCACTGGTCCACACCCGGCAGGCCTGCCAAGATCACCCCGTGAACTCGGCTGTCCTGGCAAGTGCCAGGAAGTGTTACTTCCCTTGTCCGATTTGGGCCAGTACTGCTTCATCCTGGTCCATGCATGAATGTCAGTAAACCATAAATAATAAAAACAAACAAAAAGGACAAATTGCAGGAACCAGCCACTCTCCTCTTTGTGTGTGTCTGCCTTGTCTCTTTCACAGCTTACACTCCATGAAGACAGCGGCTGGTCCATTTGCTTTGGCAAATATAGCCGTTAATAAATTATAAACGATATTATATATGATATCAGTATCAAAGGAGAACTTAGAAGTGTCACCTCTGCAAAGGAAGCTCTTCCAGGCATGCATCCAGATCTTTCGTTAAACCAACCACAGAAACAAAGTTTTTAGTAGCACCTGGGCTGAAATTCTAAAGTAATATAAATTTTGAGGCATCTCCTGAAATTAAAAGACCACATTATAAAGGCTACACAAAACCGAAGGCTGAAGAAAGGCTGGATGTGAGAGAGAAAAAGGTATCACCGTATTACAGCGTCTTTCAAGGCTGAAATGCAGGGAGCGTTGATCACAGGCCCAGAGTCCACATGGCCGTGCAGTTCCGGGGCCAGTTGGTGGCAGGGACAGGACACTGAGACCATCCTCGTGAGGCGGAAAGAAGCAGATGAGAACCAGTTCTGTTACCGAGTCCAAACTTGTTCTGCTCACCGCACGACAGGCCAATAAATCAGGAGACAAGGTGTTGGGGCAGGAATAATGACTTTATTGGGAAAGCCGGCAGATCAAGAGGATGGGGGACTCATGTCCTGGAGAACCATCTTCCCCAAGTCAGAATTCAGGCTCCTTTTATACTAAAAAGGGGGAGGGGGTATGGTTGGCTGTTGCAAACTTCTTGGTGCAGGAATCCTTTGTTCTTGCAGCTGTCCCCCGGGGCCAGGTCACGGTGCCCCTGCAAACCTCCAGCAAAACAAAGGTTATTTTCTATTCTGCAACTTGTTACCTTTATAGGAGTGCAAATGTGTTAACATCCTTAAAGGTCAGAGCGCTGAGAACGGGCTCTCCTGTCTATTTCAGGCTGAAGGCAACGCTGTTTCACAAAAGGTGCAGAGCCAGCAAGACTGAGCCCAGAGAACAGGGCACAGGGTTAAAGCCAAAGGAACAGGTCTCATACGGAGTCAGATTGGTTCTTTTCCGTCACAGTTCCAAGAGATTTCCAGATCGGCAACAATCTGAACAACAAAATAAGGGATGATAGTAACAAATTATAACTCATCGCACCACACAGGAGCACATGACTCCATGCCAATGTAAGGCAAATAAATAAAGGAGAAATAAAAGCTCTTTTCTTTAAAATAAAACGCCAACTAGTAAATGGAGACTAAAGATGGAAGCCTCACCGTACAGGAGCGTGAAGGCAAGCCTCGCCTAGGACCGCTGGCACCTTCACGGGTGCAAGCGCAGACTGCCCTCCACCACCCTGCACTCTTCCCCGCCAGGCACGCAGCCGCGAGCAAAGTGATGGAGATGTGAGCTCTCTTGATTGTGGTGGTGGTTTCATGGGTGTATATACATCTATCAAAATTCATCAAACTGTACCTCTGAAGTACGTGTCATTTTCTGTACAGGAACCATAGCGCAATAAAGATGTTTTTTAAAAGTCATCAAAAAAAAAAGTAACACCCTGTGCTATACAGAAACTTGTTTATTGATTTTATATATAGTAGTTAATATTTGCAAATCTCGGACTCCCAATTTACCCCTTCCACATGAAAATGGACGTACATGCATGTGTATGTGTGACTGAAATATGCTGAACACCGGACATTGACACATTGTAACTGACTAGACTTAAAAAAGAAATAAATGTAACATCAACGGTTAAGTGAGGTCAGTTTCTCTTAAGAAGCTTCTTGATAAATTGGTAAAAGTGATTAAGTCATTAACTCTTGGCCCATTGACGTATGTCCTTTGATCCCCTGTGAGATGAAGTCAGAAGGATGGATAAAGCGTGCTGGCTGGGTGACTGGGTCCTGAAGGGCGCTGGTCCCCGGTGCCGAAGGTGGCTTGCGGCCGGAGCCGGCCAGCTTTCTCGTGGACACCAACTTTATTCTTGAAAGAGCAGCTGATGGACACATACGGTATTCAGACGTGGACAGTAGGCAGACTTTTTCTCAAAAATGGACAAACCAATGATGCTTCAAAGAAGTAACTGAGAGCAAATACCGCAGATGAGAGAATTCAAGTTTTTTAACAAAGATTAGAATTTTGGAAAACTTGAATCTGCCACCATGACCTTCACACTTCCCTCCGGTATTGATCTAATAACCTCTCTACTAAGGTTAGCGGTGATAGTAAGAGATGTACTTTTTTGGGTATTATATAATGAAATGTGTCAACACTTGAAAACCTTCAAAACTCAAGGATCCAATATTTTCCAAATGACTAATGTCACAAAATGTGACAAAGTCACACATGGTTAAAACACCTACTCAAACTGCAAAAAGACAGAACAGCGGATTTTAACATAACAGAGTATGAAACTTAATTGACATGTTTCAAATTCCACAGCACAACTAACCTTTTAAGAAACTGTTGTTGTTGTGGGGAGGGTGCAGTTCAGTGGTAGACTGCATGCCTCGCACGCATGAGGTCCGGAGTTCAATCCCCTAGTATCTCCATCAAAAAAAAATAATAGTAATTAACTTAATTACCTCTCCCTGCAAAAATTATAATGATAATAAATAGGATGATTCAGAAAAGCAAAAAAGAAAAATTAAAAAAAATAAACTACCACTGTTGAGTTTTAGTGCAATATTAAAAAAGAAGATCAATTATCCAAAGGCTACAAAGGCAATTATCCTAAATGAATATTTAAATATTCCTCCCCTTTGTGAATTTTCTGAAAAACTTTTCAGCCATAACAGCTTACTGCAACAGATCCAAGAGGTGTGGGAAAATACAGAACAGAGCGCTCTTTGCACTACACTTTCTATTGAAAATATAATTATTTTCCATAAAATTGTTCACGTATGTTGACATGTAATTGGTTTATTGCTGTTGCCTTGAAGCGAATTAGTAAATACTGTTAAATTTCCTCACCTTTTAAGTTCCACTTCGGTAGATATTGATAAATCATATTCACAGAAGCTCTTTGGAGAGAAAGAAAAATACCACATGAGATCGCTCCTATGTGGAATCTAAAAAAAAGGAAAGAAAGAAAAGAAAAAGACAAATGAACATAAATACAGAACAGACACAGACTCACAGACATAGAATTCAGAGTTGTGGCTGCCAAGGGGGAAGGGGGTGGGAAGGGACAGACTGGGAGTCTGAAATTTGCAGACACTGACAGGTGTCTATAGAACAGATAAACAACATTATACTGTACAGCACAGGGAAATACATACAAGATCTTGTAGCTCACGGTGAAAAAGAACATGAAAATGAGTATATGTATGTTCATGTATGACGGAAGCACTGTGCTGTGCACCAGAAATGGACACGGTCTTGTAAACTCTAAGTCAATAAAATAAATTTTTTTTAAAAAAGCTCTTTGGAGACCATTTTTAGTACTTAAAAAAATTTTTTTTTACTTAATTTTTAAGCACATTTAAGCGTTCTATTTCCTTTATTGAAAACAATAAACAGGAAGAACCCGGGGACTGCAGAAGCAGCTACCGCGAACCTAGCTCGCCTCTCCAGCAACGGTGTCTGCAGAGATGTCCTCGGTCCTGCACGTCTATGTCCGTCCCTCTGGCCACGAGGGAGCAGCCTGTGGGGACCCTCAAAGGAAGCTGCAAGAGGAACCGCCAGAGCTGCAGGGCACCAAGACCGAGCTGTGCTGCAGCGTGAACTGGACAGGTGATGCTTCCCCACGTGCCGAGGACCTGGCTGCCCCTTGTTACTGGACGCTGTCGCCCAGGGGTCCTGGCTCCTTCCCTGCCCCAGTGACCTGTGGCTGGAGGTCGGGCCCAGGCTGACCTTCTCCACCCCGACTTCCACCAGCATCGTGTCAGTGTGCCAGGCCGCGGGGCTGGGGGCTGGGGGCTGGGGGCTGGGGACCGCGTGGAGAGGACCCGGCGCTGCCCGCCCCCTTCAGCTGAGATGGACGCCGTCGCTCTGGCCACCCTGCATGACTGGATGACGGAGCAGCAATTCCCCCGACCCATCCAGGGCTTCTCCCTTGGCTGCATCCCAGCCCCGCTAGGTGGCCCAGTCGACATACTGGCCGAGGGCCAGTCTGCTGCCCTGGAGAAAGCCAACCAGAGCCAGGTCTGGCCCCGGACTCTTGGGACCCGGGTTTCTACACCAAGCGCCTCCAGGAGCTGCAGCGGAACCCCAGCACCGTGGAGGCCTTCGACTTGGCTCAGTCCAGCAGTGACACAGCCGACACTGGGTCTTCAAGGGCCGACTCCACGTGGATGGGCAGGAGCTGGCACACTCCCTGTCTGAGTCCGTCATGAGCACCCAGGCAGCATCCAGCCCCAGCAACGTCCTCAAGTTCTGTGACAACAGCAGATGGGCTGTACCCTAGGCCGGGGTGACCTCTGACTCGGGGGACGGGAGGCTCCAGGCTCCGGCGGGGCGAGCACAGACCCCAGAAGAAAGGGAGCTCTGGAACGGACGTGTCCGCCGTGCATTCCATGGGAAGGGAGTCCAACTCCTACGGCCCAAGGACCCCATACGGCCAAGCTGCTTTCGGCAACGTCAGGGGCCGAGACATGCTGTCTTCACAGCAGAGACCCACAGCTTGCCCACAGGAGTAGCCGCCCTTCAGTGGTGCAGCCACCGGCACAGGGGGCCGGATCCGAGATGTGCAGCGCACAGCTTGCTTCTAGGAAAACGAAACTTACCCCTTAAATTCTACTGGTTCCCAAAACCTCACTCCTGATTGGTCCATTTCTAACACCTCATTTGCATTTACCCCTAAAATTACATTGGTTCCTGAAAGCTCACTCCATTGGTCCATTACTAACACCTCATTTGCATATGGCATGAATTTAATTGAAACCTAAACTCCTATAAAAGCCTGTGTAAACCTACAGACAGGATCCAGAGCTTGGAGCATTAACTCCGCTGGGCCCACCGGCGTGATGAACCCCTGTTCTCCAACCCTCTGAGTGTCTCTTGGCCTCTGCACGGGATTCAGGTTGCTGTCACAGTGCTGAGTTCTGAACTGTCACACTCAGGGGGCCTGGCTGAGCCTCTTTCCTCCCATTGTGCCGGGACTGCCCCCTGGAGACCGTCTCCCGGCATCACCCCGACCCTCCTCTTCTGCAGGACGGCTCGTTCTGATTTCCACACGCGTGCAGCCCGTGATGGAATTTTAAATTCTTTCCTTAAGGAGCTGCCCTGAGACTGCCAAGTCAACTGACTCTCCAGGTCACTTCCAGAAACCTCTGCGCACAGTTAGGCAGGAAGCTGGGACCCCGCTCGGGGCCACGTGGCCCCCTCCCCGCACAGGCCGGCTCGCTGCCCGGCTCAGCCCCCACCTTCCTCCTGCGGCTCAAGCCCTGGCGGCTCCTTCTCACGTCCCTGATGGGATGCGGGTCCCTCACTCCCAAAGGATCTCCCGTCTTGCATTTCCATCGCTACAGGAGCCGAGCTCCCGCTGGGCTGACCTTTACCCCGCCCATCCTGGAGGGCTGAGCTCACACCCCACCTTCCCTGTGAAGTTTTCACAGATGCACACAGGCCCTCCTTGGCAAGCATGCCTCTCACTCAGCCAGACCCACGAGTCTGCGCAGGTAGCTCTTACCTCCCCGCGGCCGGCTCTCCGGGGTCCCCAGCCTCTGCCTCCGGCCGCCGGCGCAGCGGGTTGTACATCACAGAATATCATCTTTCAGTCTGAGAGGCTGGGAAGAGGGGGGTTCTGTGGATCGGACGGGACCTCACTGGCTTAAAAAGATCAAGAAGCCAGAGAACCAGGACCTCGTGTAGCTTCCTAACAGACGTTTAATCCTATTTGGGGTTTGCTGGGATTTTGCGCCCCTGAATTTCAGGCCTGCAGGAGCCTCCCTACTCTGGTTTCACCATCAAGCAAATCACAGAGCGGCCTCCTTGCAGTCCGTGACCCGAGTTTAAGGTTAAAGGAAGTGGATCAGGAAAACAGATCACTCCACATCTCACCAGGGAAAAGGAGCTCGCAGATCATAAAATCCGGGGGCTGGCCGGCGCCATCGAGGACCGTGGCCAACGTCCCCGCAAATGATCCCAGCCAGTTTAGGCCTCAGAACTTGGAGACCAGCAAGGGACAGCCTCTGTCCCCAGCCCCACTCCTGCCCGCCCAGGCGAAGAGCCCTGGGCCTGAGCTCTGAACCACGTCCAAGGGGCTGGGCCCAGGCATGTCTCGTTTTGTCTGTGTTCTGTCAGAAATGAGAAGAAGGCCCAGGCTTCTCCGCTCACCCTAGACAAAAACACGTTATCAGCTTTCTGAGAAGCAAGAACACAGAAAAGTACCGACTATTTCTTCTTGCTCTAGGAACGCCACCTTCTGCACCCTCCCCTCCATCCCTGTCTCCTTCGCTTCTCCCTTCTCACGGGAGAAGCTCCCTTACAGTCAAGGGAGCTCAGACAATTTACAGGAGACCAGGGCCAGTGAAATGCAAGGCTAATTAAAGGCTTGTATATCTATGGCACAAATGAATTGATTTACAAAAGAGACACAGACTCACAGATAAAAAACAAGCTTATGGTTACTCGGCGGGGAAGAGGGTGGAGAGGGATAAATTAGGAGTTTGGAATTAGCAGATACAAACCACTATATAAAACAGATAAACCACAAGGTCGTACTGTGGAGCACTGGGAAGTACATTCAGTATCTTGTAATAAACCATAATGGAAAATACGAAAAAGCAAAATTTTTTTTAAAAGAGTTGAATATTTAGAGACAAATCAGGGGTCCAAATCAGACCTCTGCAGCCAGTACTTCAATATCCTTTTTTTTAAAAATCAAAACAGTGGAACATTTGGAGTCAAATGATCAACTAGCTTATTTATTTTCTTTGATATGAGAAAATGGAAGTCTTTATTAAGAAAGTAAAAATTTTAAACAAGCCTCAAATGATAGGAATTTAAGGGTTTTTTTTTCCCCCAGTTATACACATAATACACGGAGAAAAAAAGCAGTTAGGAAGACTTTAAAAGTAACTCAGTTTTTCTGGGACTCTCCCATGTATATAAGTTATTAACTTTTTTTTTTAAAGACAACTTTGAAATTTTTAAAATTTAAATACAGCTTTGAACCATCCCTCAGGGACCCGTGTTTTTCCTCTCTGGCTTCACCTGCTGTCCTCAGCACACAGCCTTTAACTCCCCGTCCAAGATCGCTGCTCTACGTCCAGCCACAACATCCACGCTCCGGGCGAAAAGCAGACAAAGGCAGGAAAGGGTGGGCCTCCTGTTCTTGAGGATGCGGCTCAGGGGCTGAGTCCACGCTCGCTGGCCTCCCAGGCTGCCGGGTCCGCACACAGCCACCCTCATGGGGAAAAGCAGTCTGGGCTGGTGGCCGCGTGCCCAGCCACACACGTCGCAGAAAAATAGGAGGACAGACACTGGCTGTCACCAGCAGCCCCCGGTACTGGGAGCAGGTTCCAAGGAGAAGCCTTGTTAGACCAGCAAAGGGATGATCGGGAAGATAAAAATTACCTGAAAAAGATGTGTGAGGTGGGGACAGTCTGGGAAGACAGGGCTGAGGCCGGCTAGCCAGGGAGGCCCAGACGCCCCCACGTCCAGGTGGAGAGGAGGCAGCAGGCTCCAGGGAAGGAAACACTGCACATTCAGAAGAGCTGGCGGGGAGCCGGACCTGCCCGGGGAAGAAGCATGTCTTGCTTTTCGTGGGGCAGGCAGTCAGGCGGCTTCAAACCCCGGAGTCTGTAGGTTTCCTGCAGCGGGTCATTGACAGGGGCAGGGGAAGAGCCTTGAATGGACAGATCTCTCCAGGCCTGGCCCCAGGGTGTGAAAACAGGGCACGGAGAAGGCCTGCCGCCCACACTGCCCACGGGTGCGATGGGGGCGTCCCCCTGGTCAGGCGTGGCGTTCCCATGCCTCCAAGGGGGGCCACTGCCTGGCATCCAGTGAGGGCATCCGGCCTCCCGGGAGCTACAGGGAGCGTCCTCCGTCCTCTACTGATGCCCAGGGCACAAATGTGAAGCAGAGAATAACCTTTGTCTTCTGGGAGGTTTTCAGGGGCACCATGACCTGACCCCCGGGCACAGCTGCAGGAACACAGGATTCCTGCACGGAGAAGTTTGCAACAACCAACCACACCCCCTCCCCTTTTTAGCATAAAAAGAGCCTGAATTCTGACCGGAGGAGGATGGTTCTCCAGGACGTCAGTCTGCCATCCTCTCGGTCGGCCGGCTTTCCGAACAAAGTCGCTCCTCCTTGCCCCAGCACCTCGTCTCCCGATTTATCGGCCTGTCGTGCGACAAGCAGAACGAGTTTGGACTCTGGAACTTGAGGAGGCTCCTGGAATTAGAGACCTTGGCTTGGCCGACAGCACCACCTGCAGGCCAGCCCCGGCCACCGAGGCCCAGTGTGAACAGAAAGCGCTCGGCAGCCTCGGCGCCGTCACCCCGCACGGACCTGGGCTGGGGCGGCTGGGGCGGGGCCTGGAGCCAGGTCTCTGACCTCCGCACTGCCCTGCGGTCAGTGTCGCAGGCCCCCTTGTGTGATCAGGGCCCTTCTGAGTCGAGGCCAAGACGCCGGGCCTCTGCTCTCATCCTGACTCCAAGCCCCTGGTCCAGTGACCTGTCAGACACCCCAGGGGACTGGCCACCTCCAATACACGCCATTGGCCAGAGGCCGTCCCCTGTGGACAGGTCCTCGCCCCTCGTCGTCCTTGCCCCTTGCACCCAGCGGGCTCCCCTCACTCCCACAGCAGCCCTGCAAGGCGGTCCCACTGTGACCCAGCCAAGTGACAAGACGGCACAGGACAGAGTCCCACCCCCTCTGTCTGCTGCCCTGCCCTGGGCGTGTGGCGACGCGGAAGCGGGGCCGCGTTTGCACGTGAGGACAGCGGAGTGATGCATGGCTCCAGAGGGGGTGAGTCCAGCATGCCCTACCCCTGTCACCTCAGCCCACGTGGCCGTGCGTCTTTGTGCCTGGAGGAGAGGGACAGAACCTTCAGGGACCCCCCGACGGGCCCAGCCAACACTGAAGCGTCTCTAAACCTGGTTTCAGAAGCATTTCCTGGCTTCTCAGGACAGACACAACAAAACCAAAACCAAAACCAAAACCACAGCTCTGTGCAGGACACCTGAGGATAAAGACGAAGCTACCAGACAGGATCTTCTGTAGCTAAAAACCTAAGGAAGAAGCCCCGACAAGGCCAGTGGGAGGGGCGGACTCGCGATGCACTCAGGTCCCATCCGCCCAGGTGGGCGGCCCACAAACCGGAGAGTAATTATAACGCAGGGGTCCTCCCACGGGGGTCGGGGCGCCGAGGCCAGTCTCCCCAGCCCGGGGATCCGGCCCCGGGACGAGGAGCCCCCGGAGGGCTGGGCCTTGAAGGCCAGCGGGGCCTGATTCCAGGAGCTTCGCAGGACTCAGGGAAAACTCTCCTGGCCTCCAGAAACCAGAAAAGGTGAGGAAACAGACTGTCCCCGAGCGCCGTCGGAAGGAGCAAGCTCTGCCTGACACTCGACGTTGGCTCAGCGAGACCCCTGACCGCCGGAGCTGTGGGATAACAACTGTGTGAGGTTTGGTTTTTTGGGGGTTTTTTTTTGAGCCGCTAAATTTATAGGAGTTTGTTGTGACCGCTTGAGGAGAACCAACACACCTGCCCAGTCTGGGAGTATTTTGGAAGCTGTGAAAATGGGGAGCAATCAGGATTAACAGAAAGTCATGGAAAGCTGGAGATCCAAGGAAAGGAGAGAGGGAGGGAGAAAGGAAAGGATGCATCAAAGGATGTGATGGGGGAGAGGGATCAGGGTGCAGACCGGCTGCCAGCAGAGGCCACGCGCTGGCCTGGAGAAGGTGCTGGGTAAATAACTGAAAACACAAAGAGCATGGCATCAGCTGTGGAACCCCGATATTCAGCACCTGTTCGTACCCAGAGCCCTGGCCACACGGCCAACGCCTGGGCTGAGTTTGCTCAGAAAGGCCAGGCCAGGAAGCCAGCTCCGGACGCGGCCCAGGGCACACACGCTGCAGAGAAGCCACGCACCTGCACAGGACTCTCCAGGTGAGCCGTCTGGGCTCCCTCGGTGGAGGTGACAATGATCAAAAAGCCCCCTTTTAGAAGCTCATTACTCTGTCCAAGCACTTGAGACACTGGATATACAAACAGACAATGGCCAGACTATATGCAAGAGCGGAGCCCTGCCCGCCACCTGCAGCGGCCTGCCCGGGGAAGCGCCCTCTGGCCCACAGCAAGCGGCCCCGGCTGTGGGTCCCCCTGCAGGAAGGCAGGCTGCTGTCTCTGGAAGCAACCCAGAAAGCCAGTCATGAACCCCTGGAGCAATCAGCCCCGAATGCCCAGGACTCGATGAGTGGCGGACAGTTCCCTTTTGTCCCTACTTCCAACTCGGGACCCACCGGGGAAGCCAAGCACGTACCTCTAACGCATCCCATAGGACGCCCCCAGGAGCCGCCTCCAGCCCCCCGACTCGCACAGCTTCCAGGCAAGGCGCTCCTGCAGCCTCCTCTTCCTTGCGCTGGAAAGCCTCCCGCGGCTCTGCCTGCCTGTGAGTCTCTGATGGAACGTAGGTGGCGATGGGTGACTCTGGGCTCCGGGCAGCTCTGAAGAAATGGCCTTTGCCTGTTCTCACTGTGGGGGTCTTCACGTGAACACTTCGGACGCTCTCGCTCACGGCCGCCCTGGGCAGCGATGACCCCCGTAGCCGAAGCTGGGATGTCCCGCCCCAATGGGCACCTGAGTGAGACTCCATGTTCATCATGTGACACTTGGAGCCCAGGGAAGTTTGGCTAAATACGCTGCCGCAAACCCACGACGAGGCACGCTTGGGAAAGACCGAGCTAGTGCCTCGGAAGCAAAGCCATAATCTGGAAGCCAGAAACATCAACAGTCGGACGCCAGAGCAGAAGGATGAGACAGGGAAGCCAGAGGGTGACCAGCGGGATGGTCAGACACGTCTGGCCCACGTCGCGCGGGCGTTTCTTTTTAGAAGTCAGCACGCTTCAAAATGTGCCCGTGTGCTCCTGAAGGTGCCTCCAGGGTGGCTCTCGTGCTGTCAAACACCGTCCAGGCCTCCAGCCACCCCGTGCCTGCCCAGACCCTCTTAGGACCCCCGCGCTGCTGGGGCCAGCAGACGGCCCCTGGCTGTCCCGGGTCCCCGGGCACTAACTGGGGGGGGTGAGGGGTGCTGCCTTCAGAATCCGGTACTGCCGAGCCCACCCCCCACCGTGGGCCCAGCCTGCCTCCCAGAGGG